AGAACTGCCCGGTAAACCGTAGGCAGAGAGAGAGAAGAGGACAACAATATGCTGTGCCTCTAGTGCCAGCGGCATGTCTGGAGTGTATTTTTTGGCTGTGACAGACCTTTCTTTGTTTCGTGGGTGTTTTGCTTGCTTGTGATGGGGTGTGAACCGAAAGTCTGTAGAGTTTTCCATCTGGTGTGGGTGAGTGATAGTCTGCTTTGACTTTTGCCACAGGTACCTCGAGGGCAGTGATTGGTGCCCACCTCAGGGTGTCAGTTGTCGGGCAGTCATTGATGCTTAGCCACAGCCGGGGTTAAGGTGGATTATCACTTACAGTGTAATCAGTTAGGGGATTCTGCAGACTGTTGAGGGTTCAGCCTCCTGATGAGTCGGTGAAACTCCGACGAAACTGTTTGCCACAGCCCCTCGTTTGTTGTCCTCTTCTCCCTCTCTGCCTACGGTTTACCGGGCAGCTCTGTTTGACTATATATATATATATATATATATATATATATAAAAGAGGGAACAACCCCTGGATCTCCTGCTGTGCACTGGACCTTCACTTGTCTAGCCTGACCTCGGTATGTGCATGTTTGCATTTCTGCCCCTCAGACATTTTCCGTCAGTATGTGTAACGTACGACTTGTTCGAGACATACCGTGGGACCACATGGTAACCATTAGGCTGTTCCCGGGTATGCGTATCGGTCCCACACATCTGTTCAACAGCTGGTGGTGCTCTACCCTGGTTCAGACCATTGTAGGTGAGTTTGACATCCAGTTGCTGCTTGTTCTCTTGATGGAGCTTCCATAACCCACCATCTCACACCAGGTTCAGCGTTGGGTCCAAGTCGAGTGCGTGTGTGCGTTCTCACTCCCTCTCCCTGCTCCTCCTCGCTGAAACCAGTGACCGTGACAATCCGACAGGATTTGAACTGTTGATCTGTTTATCAATAACTGCAGGTATGTATCATCCAGCCATCAGGCAGATACAGTAGACATTGTATGCTAGAGAGCACGAGGATGCATACCCGTCTTCTTGCTTAAGCCGCCAGTACGCAGCCCCAGCCTTGTGCACCAGAGGCGAATGTGTCTGATTCTTTGAAAGAAGTTAGTTGCGAAGACTGACCAGTCGACGTGTGGAGTGGGGACACGGATAGGAAAAGCGGGGAGCAATTGTTAGCGGCGGCAAGGAGCGCCCAAACTGCAGGACGTTGTCTCAGCTAAAGCTTGATGAGACAGACATACACACCAGAAAGGGAGACAATGACAAGGGCTGTATGGATCAGGGAGCAGGCAGGCCTGTAGTGCAGGTGGAGGGTCTTAATGCCTGTGTTTTGAGGGTTCACTTGGTTGCTTCCCTGTTGTTCTTGTGTCTTCCAGAGCCCTGCTGCTGATCACATCGACACATGGAGAGTTTTTAACTTTTCAAGTAGTATGTCTTATGCTGCTGCTGTTTTGTCTCCTCAGAGCAGAAACATCGAGCTGCCCTCCTCCGGGCAATTGAATTGCAAAGAGAGGACTTCTCTGCAGTGATGACAAACCTCAAGGACATGGTGGAGATCCCTGTCAGCATGCAAGCATGTGCTGCTGAGCACACCAGTGCAGTTGACGAGTCGCTGACTGTTGAGGAGCTGAGGAAGGGTGAGTTCCCTCTCTGACAGCTATTCTGACGTATGCAGGCGTCTTTATATCAGCAGCAAACATGTGTCATCGCCATCACCTGTCAAAATAATGGCCTGATCACAGAAGCTTTGCCCCCCCCTCTGGGCATTGTTTTGACGGCAGTCATCCTTTTGCTTGCAAGCATGTAAAATTAGAAATTGGTTCTTCTGCACTGTTTTATAACTTTTATTTCATTGAAGTACACTGAAATGCTCAGAAATAGTGAGGAAAAATCTTCTTTTGTGCATGGATGGAACAGAGGAGACTGGCAATCGATGATACGACTATGCAATGCCAAATGAGAATGGAGGATTCTGTGTGACATCTGTAGTGCAAACATTGGGTAGAGAGGCAAGAAAAAGGAGGGGATCATTGACTTACTCGTGAAGTTGTTTGACTCCGGGGACCTTGAATCTACTGGACTAAGTTAGACCCTTCCCACGGATTGTAATCAAAGCCGTCCGCTTGGGCCTTCCAACCATAATGGGAAGGAGCATAGGGTGAGTATATGATGTATTCCTTTGGCTTGCCAGTGGAATAGGAACTGGGCTGATGCTCCCCAGAATGGACATGGAGCCAGAACCGTAAGGTTCTGTTCTTTTTTTGAAAAAAAGAAAAACGAAAAAGGAAAAGGAGGGGAGGAGAGGAGGGAACAGGTGGAAAGGGGGAGTGTAGGAAGGGAGGCGAGGAGGGAATAGGAAGAGCGGGGAGTGCAGGAAGGGAGAAGAGGAGGGAAAAGGGATAAGAAGGGGAATGCAGAAGAGAGGGGGGTCATACTGAATTAGCTAGCTTGGCAATTTAGGCACTAAGATGTATGTATTACAGCAGCAGGATAAGGGCAGGAAACTGGAGATGCATGTGAAATTGGGTTGCATACCTGCCGACCGTTTTGCAGCCGACCGGTAGGGCCGACCAGTCAGAAAACAGCCATCCACTGATTTTTTTTCGAATCTGAGTTGGGGACTGTACTGCACTTGCTGAGTTCAGCCCAAATCCGCTGAGAAACTTTTGGGGGGGGC